TGTCATGGCATAATTGTGGGTTAAAAAAAAAAAAAAAAATTGTTATTGTATCTAATGATAGATTCTTAAAATATTTAGTATATAAAATTTGATAGATTATTTATGTCCCTTTTTGAGGGATAAAATTCATAGCTCTTTACTTTAATAGAGACAAAAGTCAAAAAATATTATAAATTAATAATTTGAATAATAGAAAACAATGTAAGTAGTTTTTTTATAATTATTAATTTAAAAATTTTAATGTTTTCTAGTAAGGGACATTTGACTTTTGTCTCTACCTCTTTTTTTAGAGACCTATTTTTAGTTGTGTCAAAGTTATAGAATGAAAAAAAAGCAGAAGATTATGAAAAAAGATAAAAAAAACAAAAAACACAATTATAGGATTAAGAAGTATTGTTATTATCTTTAAAAAATCTGAATTTGAAAGATACTAAAAAAAAAAAAAAAATGAAAAAAATATATAATAATTATTAAGAATTGGATTTATTATGAAACCAAATAATTTGATTTTCAATTGCAGATAGAACTTAAAATAGTCTATAGTAATGATCTACTGTATAGGCAATGATTTTATTAATTAAAGAAGTTATCCAAATTATTAAAAAAGTAAAATATTATTTTTTAGATTGCATTTAGAGAAATAATTTTTTATTAACAAGTAAATTAATATATAAAAGTTACAATAATTTATAAATATCTAGTATGTAAACAATAAAGACATACCATACTGACCTGACTGTGAATTAAAAAAAAAAAATAGTAATAATATTTAACTTTGGATCTGATTGTGATTTAAAAATATTATTATGATATAGATTAAATTTTAAATAAAACAAAGTTGCATTTAAAGTTAAGTTAATAAAGATAAGTGAGTTAGTTAAAGTTTTAGTTTTAGCAATATTTAATTTATGTATAGTTTACAGATTATTTAATAAAGCATGCATAACTAACCTGACAGAATAATAATAATCATTAATATAATTTTGATATTTTTTATAATAATAATTTTACTAGTTAAGGATTAATCCAAATCAATAAAGAAGCAAAATATTATTTTCTAAGCTGCATCTAAAGAAATAATTTTCAATGATGGGTTACCAATTGTAAATATCCAGTATATATACAATAAAGACATGTCATGTTAACCAAACTGCGGATTAAAGTTAATAATGTTAAAAAAAATGATAATTAAAATAAAAACAAACTCGAAGCTTTATTTACTGTAAAATAGCTTATATACAATTAACAATACTGTATTTCTTTTTAAAAGATAATCGATTAGATATGTCGTGAAACTTTAAAAGTTGAAAGTTTATATGATATTGTTTGGCTATTGTTATATAACAAATAAAATTGACCGAAACAGTAAATAACGAGAATGGGGAAATCGATTAATGAATGGTTTTCCAGGCGGCACGATTGCAGCCTTATATAGTAATTTAGGTTATCGATAAGACCGGTAAACGAAAAAAGAAAACCAAGCCTTGTTGCGTAATGCATACATAACACGTAATATACGTGCATAATGTCAAGTTTATCGGGATCATGTGACCTCATCGCCGCAACCTGATAACCCAGGTTTTGATTTTACGATTTGTGATAACGCCGTAATTTTCGCCTCACATGCCGCCCAAATTTCGTTGACAATTTCGTAGCGCATTTACAGACGAAGGTACTTAGTCTTGATATATATCACGGATTTCAAGCGACACGTCGTTGAATAGCAAAGCTATTTCGCGGAAAAGTTACATGCTCGACTTAAGGGCTACTAAGCTCCTATTCTTGATTTAGGCATATTGGTATATCAAGATAGCATGAATAGATCTCTATCATCTATGGGAGATCAAGGTATTGAATTAGATGCTGATCGAGGCACAAATTTTATGGTTGAGGATGATGATAGCAACGAAACCGAGGAAAGATATGACAATACTTCGAAAAAAACCAAAGTGTTGTCCAGGAAATTTAATAAACGTACGGTCATCGACATCCCTGGTAAGAATCAAACATAAATGTGTTAGGACGGTTGATTTTAACTTTCTTTGTATTAATAAATTAGTATGATTCCTTTTTGGCAGATAAGGATGTAACTTCCGTATTTGTGCAGAACGTTTACCTGGAAGAAGAGGATCTTAATGTTGGTAGCCTTTTAATGGACATTTTAATAAACACATGGGTTTCATTCTACCAATACGAGATGATCTTCATTCTTTTCTTATTTTTTCTTAGATTTTTTTGATGGGTTATAGATTCAATCGATATTGCCTCTATATTTTTTACATTTTGTGTGTTTTAACCGCCGGAGCCCTGTATCTGTTATCTCGATGGATGCCAAAGATATGGATTTGGTTTGTTGGTGATGCATGTGAAATGGGAAAAGCGGAATGGATTGTCGTAGAGGTTGATCTAGTTTTTATGGTTGTCGTTATTATAAGCCACACAGTCTAACGTATTTACACTTTACTCTAATGAAGAATCAATGGGGCGAATTATCGATTGAGAATGTATCACGCAAATATTATGGTGGAACTATTCTTTCCGTTTTCTCGACCAGTCAACTGGATGACGATGACGCAGTTAAACTGGCATCGCTATCCTCAGATGAACTTTTGCGCCATCTACATCACTTCGATTATCGTTATATTCGATTTATATATAATCCTCTACTGGGAAAGTTTCTACAAAATAGGTACCTCTTTCTTCAAATGTATTGTCGCATTAAAATTTTCAGAGCACTATTAATTTAATTTGCAGCTATTGGAAGGATCCGGCATGGACATCTGTGAAATCACTCAAAAAGGGGATCACTCGAGAAATATATGGTGAACGCGAGATGATCTTTGGAAAAAATTTAATTGATATCGAGGGAAAGAGTACATTTCAGCTATTATTTGAAGAGGTTTGTCTTTTTTATTTTGATACTAGGAAATAAATCATCGATATTAACATGATTGCTTTATACATATCCAAGATCTTGCATCCCTTTTATATCTTCCAAGTTTTCTCTATGATTCTTTGGTTTTTTGATGAATATTATTACTATGCAAGCTGCATATTTATTATATCAGTTACAAGTGTTATATCTACGTTGGTAGAGACGAAAAAGGTCGGCATGTTTAGTGATCTTAATGATTTCCCGCTTCATGAATTTATAATATTAAATTTCGAAGTTTCTGTTTCTTAATACAGACAATGAAAAGACTACGAGAGATGTCGAAGTTTATCTGCCACGTTCGAATTTTTCGCGGAGGGTTATGTAAGAATTCAATGTTTCTCATTCAACAAATTGTCGAGTACGATTAAAACTTTCTTCTCTCAAAAACATACATTAAGGGAGACACGTGTCATCGGAAGATTTAGTACCTGGAGACATATTCGAGATATCAGATCCGGATTTACACATATATCCGTGCGACGCAATATTGTTGTCTGGCGATTGCATTGTCAATGAAAGCATGTTGACTGGTAATGAACAATTCTTTATTTAATATCCACTTATTTGACATGATAATATAGTAAAGGAAAAAAATTTTTGTCGATATAGGAGAATCTGTTCCTGTGTCCAAGCTACCCATCACAGATGTATCATTGAAACTTTTAGATTTGAGTGTCACCAATGTGCGACCAGAAGTTGCCAAACATTTTTTGTTCTCTGGGACGAAAATAGTTCGAGTCCGCAAAGCCAAGGGAAACGGTATTACCTCTGATGACGAGGGAATGGCACTTGCAATGGTCGTGCGAACAGGTATACAGTTTTATGTAAATATGCTGAAATGTAATAAAGCTGAAATAATTAATAATAATTTGAATATAGGTTTTAATACCACCAAAGGTGCATTGATTCGAGCGATGCTGTTTCCAAAACCTAATGAATTTAAATTCTATCGCGACTCATTTCGTTTCATTGGTGTATTGGCTTTGATCGGTATTGTTCATTGTTTGTCAACTCCTTTTTTCTCTCCACTTGAAATTTCCAAATTGATGTAATTTTCTGTATTAAGCTCTAATCGGCTTTGTGATTAGCGCTTATAATTTCCTTAGGATGAACGTAAATGTCCGGTTAATAATTTTCCGCGCTTTGGATTTGTTCACTATTGTGGTCCCCCCAGCGTTGCCTACGACGATGAGCATTGGCACGAGCTTTGCTATTGGAAGATTACGTAAAGAAGAAATATTTTGCATCAGTCCGGCAAGGTAATGTGAGTTTGTTTATGGTTTTTAAGATAAATATTCGCAGTATTTTGCTCGTTTCTAAAAAAATATTTTTAGGGTTAATATTGGCGGAAAGTTGAATGTCATGTGCTTTGATAAAACGGGTACTCTCACTGAAGATTGTTTAGATGTGTTGGGTGTTCGTTGCGTCAATCAAGATGAAAATAAGTTTGTTTTGATGGTTTAATTTTTTTCACGGAAGATGATTCTAAATTGCAAATGTTAAAGATATCGATCACAATCTCTAGATTTTCTGAACTTTATACGTCATCTGATATGCTTCCGACTGTCAACACGAAAACCAATAATCTTTCCGTTGTTTCTAATGTTGGATTAAATTGCTCTCCACTTCTTCATGCCATGGCAACTTGTCATTCTCTTAAACTGGTCGACAATGAGTTAATCGGCGATCCATTAGACTTGAAGATGTTCGAATTTACTAATTGGATACTTGAGGAAAGTGGACAAAGTGCCTCACGACCTTCTAGTTTAATCGAAACAACTACTGGTACATCTCCCGTGGCTAGTTCCGGTGGAATGGTACCAACGGTTGTTAGGCCACCTGGAAGTAGACAATTCGACCTCTCCGACGTGTTGATGAATAATGGCGAACGAAATAACGAAGTAAAGACATTAACAATTAATTAGTACTGTTAATTTTTTTGCTGTAGAAACGTCAGATTCTAATTTTTGTCAAACTGCCAACCCATATTAGCCTAATGCGTTTTTAGAATTTGGCATCATTAGAACATTCGAGTTTGTTTCATCTTTGCGTCGCATGAGTGTGCTCGTTAAACGTTTGAGAAGTCATACAATAGAAGTTTACGTAAAAGGTGCCCCCGAAGTCATGCGGGATATTTGTCGAGCCGAATCACGTGAGTATTTGATGCGTCGATATTTCGTCAACATTCTAACTGAATTTGCGTTATGTCAAAGTTCCCGAAAATTATGACGAATTATTACACTATTACACGCACAATGGATTTCGAGTCATCGCATGTGCTTTCAGGAGTTTTGACGATCTCAATTGGATAAAGGCACAGAAAATAAAGAGGTATTTTATTTAGCTACCATTATGTAATCCTAAAATTGTAACTGACTTTTCTTTTAAAACTTTATAAAGAGAGCAGGTTGAACAGGATCTTGAATTTTTAGGGATTATCGTGTTCGAAAATAAATTGAAGGCAGAAACTCCACCTGTTGTTGAAACTCTCAGAAGGGCGAAGATTCGGCAAGTCATGTGCACAGGTATGCATATGCATTAGTTTTTTATTATTCACAAAGTAATGTTCTTGACACCGCCACCACATCACCTGTGCATTTACACCCCACAGGAGACAATGTGTTGACTGCAATTAGTGTTTCTCGGGAGTGCGGAATGATTAGCAAGAATGCAAAAGTATACGTACCACGATTCGAACAAAGATCTGGGAATTCGGATTCGGGGTCATCTATTGTTTGGCAATGTTTGGACGACCAAGAAGACTTGCTGGATTCAAGATCTTTAAAGGTATTTATTTATTGTCCACCACAATTTAAATTTTGGACCTAAACAGAATAGAAAATTTTTTATAGCCAATTATTCGATCATCGCAACCTTTCTCCGAATTTCCATTCATCGACCCTTACGAATATGACCTCGCCGTAACGGGTGATGTTTTTCGTTGGATCGTTGACTACGCTGACGAAATTACACTTTATCGGGTAATTCTTTCCTTCATTATTTCCTTTTTAAAATAAATTACTTAGTTTTTTTACTTGAACATTTAGATGCTTATCAAGGGACAAATTTTCGCACGAATGTCTCCAGATGAGAAGCACGAGTTGGTCGAGAAACTGCAGGAAATAGGATATTGCGTCGGATTTTGCGGAGATGGTGCTAACGATTGCGGTGCTCTCAAGGCTGCGGATGTGGGATTATCACTTTCTGACGCCGAAGCTTCGGTTGCTGCCCCTTTTACGAGTCGCAATAAGGATATTGGCTGTGTGGTCGAAATAATTAAGTAATGATCGTGCAATCCTATTTATTTATTTATTACACGCTCTGACCCGATATTAATTTTATTAATTGGTTCCGTTTAAATCAGGGAGGGTAGAGCAGCCCTAGTCACGAGCTTCAGTTGTTTTAAGTACATGGCGCTATATAGTATGATTCAATTTACGACAGTTAGTATCCTGTACGGTTATGCTTCCAGTCTAGGAGACTACCAAGTTAGTATCGATTCCCATGGATTCTAAAAGAAGTGACACAATGACTAACAGGTCCTCTTATTATAGTTTTTATATATAGATTTATTCCTAATTTTGCCAATCGCGGTTTTAAGTAAGAGTTTCCTGACTTAGGTCATTTAATTGATCGCAATAGATTGATATAGATTTGCTTGTAAATAGTGGGGCGCACTGAACCATACCCGCGTATTCATCCCAAAAGGCCCACTGCCAGCTTGGTATCAAAGAAAGTGTTGACGTCTTTGATAGGTCAAATTTTAATCCAGTCGGGTTTTCAATTTTTTGCATATTTGTTATTGCATGCGCAGCCCTGGTAAGTTTCTGTTTTTCAGCAGTTAGGTTGGAAATAAATGTTCACATGTTCATCTCTATCAGGTGGAAGGAACCTCTCATTAATCCCGACAAAGGAAACATAACGTCTTTTGACAATACGACATTGTTCTTGGTATCTTGCTTTCAATACATTCTTATTGCCGTGGTGTTCAGCGTTGGTCCTCCATATCGAAAATCAATGATTACCAATAGTTCGTATAAAAATTTCTTGATCTTCGTATCTTCGTCACATGAAATTTTCTTTATTCGATATTAACTTTTTTTCCTACAAATAGTTCCTTTCATGATCATAACTGGCCTACTTTTACTTTCTACACTTATTATACTCCTATACCCCTTCGGATTCATTAAAAGTGCACTAGAACTCGTCGATATCAATTTGTATTTTCGATGGTGGATTTTTGTCATTGCCTTATCGGACTTTACTGTATCGTGGGTAATGGAAAAGCATATTTTTGGCCTTATCGCCCATTGGATAAGTTATGTATTATACGGGGGTAAAAAGGTCAACAAAAAATTGTACAAAAAAATTTTAGAGGACTTTGAAACAAGATAATATAATATATATTTAATAAGATATTGTTAATTCGCTAACTACTATAAGTTAGGAAGTAACTGGAAGGATATCTAATAGAGCACGTTAATAAGAAAATAAATAAATACCTATCATAATAGATTTTCATTCCATTATTTACTACTTCTTGATCTCATCCCCATTTTCGTCAAATTTCAAGTCCTTATACTCTCCGTCTGTAAATTGCTTTGACCACTAAATTTGCCAGATATGAAAGCAGCAGACAATTCAGTAAATGTGTCACCAAAACAAAGAAGTACAATTATATACCATCATCGAGGGAATCCATCGATTAGGTTTGGTATGTCTCCACTGCGAGTTTGATAAAGGGCGTCAATTTTAATCGTTAATGACTAATTCACATTTTCAACTACCTCACGTTCGGCCGAAATTTTCCACAAAATCCCGACGATCACAAACATTCCAGCACCAACAATGGCCGTATTAGTCTTCCAATTGGCGGGTCTGGACCACCAACCACCGGCTAACGATAAAGTGCATTAGGTAAGTCCGATAAAAAGTATAGTATTTGTTTGTTTCCTACCTGGAGACCTATTTAGAAATTAACAAGCGCATCAGCAATTTGTTTTTAACAATGTACAAAGGATCTACTCACCAAACCTCCTTTGGATAGGGGTAACGTTTTGTCGCTCCCTAAAATGCAAAACACTGTCACCAACATCCAAACAAAGGTCCATCAAATTTGAATAAAATCTATACCATTACAAATTTCGAAACTTTTCGAGGTTAAAATTCGATAATAGATTTACCAGTGATCTTTTATCTTCATACGCGTGACGTAAAATAACAATGATTGGATAAAATTTTTTTATATAAACCAATATTATATTTATACATTGCTAAAGTTAATTTTTTGAATAACTTACTTATCTTTATTTTTCTTATTTTTCTCTCTATCAGGCTAGGTATGGTGCTTTATTAAACATTTGTATACTTTATATTGGAAAATGTGTCACTAAAGCTAAGTCTTTATAATTTTATTAAAACTCTAAGTACAACTTCGAAAATAATTTATTATTTTATTAGTAGTTCAGGAAGGATCCTTTTAACTGTTAACTTCACTGCCTACAAGTTATTATGGCAGATCACTCTGTGATATTCTAACAAAGCTTAAAATCCAATCTTTTTATTTTGTACTTTATTTTTTTTTATTAGAATTTTTCAAAAACTTTTATCTTCTAGATTTTCTTTCTTTGATAATAGTTCTCTTTTCATTGAAAGTATGAAAATTTTTTGTCTTGTTCTTTCTATCTTTTTTTTTTTTTTTTAAAAAACCCTAGGTCAGGCTAGGTACATGTGCTTTATTAAACATTTGTATACTGTACATTTTAAATGATTCGTTAAAGTTAAAACTTTCATAACTTACTTGTTGCTATTTTGTCTTAATATATCAAAACTCTAAATACAACTTTGGAAGTGATTTATCACTCCATTAATAGTTCAGGTAAATACCCTTCCAACCCTTAACATCATTGCCCACAGATCACTACTGCAGATCACTATCTATTGTTCTAACCAAGCTTAAAACCCAATCACTTCATTCCATAAGTAATATCTATAAGTAGAATTTCTTTCAGGCTTTCATTTTCTTGAGTTTTTTTCTCCAGTAGAAGATCTTTACTTTTGGAAACTGATAGTTTTAAGCTGTATGTGCCTGAGGTCAGTTGATTTTATCTACTCTGCAGATCTCCTGTAAATATTTCCATTCAATTATCTTCTCACATCTTTTGTTTTAAATTTTTTTCCTTATTTGGTTGCACACTCTTCTTTATATCTTTGACATCTATTTTCTTGCCTTATTACCAATTCTTTTTCCATGGCATTTTAGATCTGCTATTTTTAGAATTAGATCTCTTTTTACTAGTCCTGTACAAAAGTTTAGAATGTTCTGACTGGTTTTTAAGATCTATTCTATCAATTTAGAGATCCATTTATTCAACTTGGCCATTTCTTCTTTATCATGAATAATCAACCTTGCATGTTTTTCTTCTGCCTCTTTTTTTCTCTCTTGTAAAAGCTCTCTGAAGTCTCTAAGGATCCTATCTTATCCTTTATTCCATGCTTCCTGTAATTGTTTTTTGTACGTTGGACACTTTAATAAATGTTTGAAAGTTTCACTTTGCTGATTACATGCAATACACTTCACTTGTTTGTAAAGGTCGGGCCTTCTAGTTGTCAGCTTGTTCAAAGTTGATAACTCATTATTCATTAGTTTTATAAGGAAGCTTTTTCACTGCGATTGTTTAAAGGAAATGTCCCAAGTGTGTCCTTCTTTCATTTTTTCCTATACAAGGTCCCAAGTATAATCTTGCTGTTCTATAATTTGATAGCTCTATCTTTTTTCCATTTGTTTTATTGTGTCCACTGAAAAACAGTTGTTTTATTGTTTATTTTTTTGACAAACTGTCTTATTGGATCATTCAGCATCTTTTCTTACTATCTAATTTCTGTGATGATCTTGTATAAGGTCAGCTCTTTCCATTTTATTGCTGGGAGTTTCAGAGCTTCTTTGGCTAGAGCATTTGCTTTTTCATTGTAAGAATCATTGGAATGTATCTTAACCTTGATAAGTTGCAATTTTGTGATCTTTTTCTTTATCAATTCTAATATTCGTATCTGCAGGACCAGCTTTTTTCCTTTAACTATCTTTTGTAAGTTTGCTTTGGATCATCTCTTTCTATTGTTTTTCATTTGAAGATACAGGCCTGACTATCTGTATGAATTTCTATGTCGCTACCCACTGGAACCACAAGAAGTATTGTAACAATTGCTACAAGTTCTGCACATGTTGAGGAGGGCCAACTGTCTACTCCTGTCTGAAATCTACTTTCTCTATCCATATCTCCTATTTGGATCTATGCTGCTCTCATTTTCATTTCTTCTTTTCCATGATTAATGAGTGATCCATTGGAGTAAAAGATTAGTTTTTTAACATTGGATTTTAGGTTGCATTGAAATATTTCTATTAGATAGTCCTGATATACTCCTTCTATAACATTGTCTCTAATGATGACCTCTTTCCATCTTTCGATATCTACATAATTCACTATATTGATTGGAGCTAAGATTTGAGAGTTTAGATCCATGTTAGTAACCTTTTCCATTGTCTCTTCTAGTGATGCCTTGAAGCAGGGGATTGTTAGTTCTTGAGCTCTTCTGATTGACTTTCTTGTATTGAAATATGAAACTTCATATATATCTTTTATATCTTTCTCTAATATACATCCCCTTTCTTGTCTTGTACCCTTTAAACATCCTGAGCACCTTGTTAATATTGTCATTTGAGTATTATCATTACTACTGCAGTTGAAGTATTTGATACTGACTTTGTGTCATACTTTTGTCTGTTGTAATTTTTCTCAGATTATGTGATGCCCAGCTTTCCTTATAATTATCCATAGTTTTTGTTGTTTGTCATGGTTTAAATTAATTGCAATATATTCAAGTTTCTGTTTTGTCCAATCTTTTTTCCATATACTTATGAGCGGACCTATCCTATTACTTGGAAGAGTTTTGATTAAAGCTTAAAACCATTCAGAAATGGGACCTTTATTGATATTCTAAAGTAGTTGGAGCATTCGTCAATTCCTAATTTCTTTAGTAGCTTAATTGATTAGCTGGTCTATATATAGTAGTTTATTGTTTCTTAGTAATGATATGACTTTTCTATATTCTTTTAATATAAGGTGTTCCTTAATTAAACTATTTCCCTTGCTTCATTTAAAGATTTCTTGCTATTTCCAACTGTGAAAAGTAATTCCTATATTTTTACCCAACTTTATTACTTGGAGCAGAAAGTTTCCTTTATCTGGTATATGGTTCAGGGAGTTGCATGTTAATAGATTAAGTGGTTCCCAATTCTTTATCTATGCTTGTTTGAGTTGGATAATTGTTGTGATTCCTGTGGGATCAGGATCATTTAGTCTATTACATAATCCTGTTATTTAACTTTCTCGCTGGAGCATCCAGATGCTCTTCAGGTTGTGAATCTTTGGATAATGTATTATACTATTAGGTATAGATCTATATAGAGTACTCTTGTTTTCTATATGCTGCCATTAAAATGTTACATATTTTTTAGGATAGTATACTATGCTGCATCTTGAATTCTATCCTTGGAATTAATACCCTATTTAGAATATACAGGATTTATTTATCTGTTAATTTCTTGCTTTTAAGAGTTCTGATCACTACGTTAATCTCTTTTAGCACACTTTCTTTGAGTTCAACTACAGTTTTTTGATTGCCAGTCTAGATTCCTAGAAATTTTGTATGTTCTGCTCTGCTGAGCTCCTTTATCACTTCTTTTTCTATACCAGCCTGAACTTCTTCTGGATAATAATTAGAATTGTTGATAGTAATTAAGATTGATTTATTACTATTGATTTGAAAATCGTTGGCTTTGTAAAAGACTCTCGCAGTTTCGAGAATTTCTTCTATATCCTTTTTAGATCTTGCTATTCATGTTGTATTATCCATAAAGGCTATAGCTGTATGTCTTAATTCTAGCCTTCTTGTGGTCTGTCCTTTGAGATTTGGATTCCAGATAATCAATATTTTGTATTCCCTTTCTTTGTCATTCTGAATCTTACAGAGTAAAGAATCATAGAATATTCGTTATAGCAGTGATGAGATAGTTTCCTCTTAATTGATGCTATCCCCTGCTTTTATGGATTCTGTGAAGTCATTTTCAAAGATTACTTAAAATTCTCTATCTTGAAATAGGCTCAATATGATCTTGATAAAACCTTTTGGTATTCTGATCCTTTTCATTACTTTGACTAGCATATCCAGACTAATTGTGTCATAGGCTTTAGCAATATTTTGAAAAAGTATCCACAATTCCTTTTTATTTTCTCTTGCATCTTTGCAGATGTTATTGAGAATTTGGATTGGTTCTGATATATTTTCTCTAGGAAGACCCATAAAGTTGGAACCTTTGAGGATGTTATTGACTTGCTAGATATTTTCCATCCTATTAGTAAGGATTTTTGTGAAACACTTTCTTGTGACTTTCAACAGAACTATTGGTCTTGTGTTTATTAGCTCACACTCCCACAGTTTTGGTCTAGTTATAGGGTATATATGGTTCTGTTTTCAACAAGTGGGGTTATCTTCTATCTCAAGAAGTTATTTAACATTCTTCTTAGGGTTTCCTTTTCCTCCCGACTCAATTTTTTAAACATTTCATAGCTAATTTGGGACCATCTTAATGCCTTGTTGTTTAAAAATGTTTAAAGTATTTCATTTAATTCTTCTTGTGAGATTGGCTTGAGGAGATCTTTATACCATAGTTTCTTGATATAATCCTTGGATCTATACTCCTCTTTCCAATCTTCTGTGAGGTTATTGAAGTTGGTATCTCTTTTTTTAAACACTTTTAAATGGTATTGCCTTAGTTCTTTTTCTATTTCACCTGTTTTGGTTGTTATATATTCTATACCATCCTATATGACCTTAACT